TAGACAAATCCCGAAAGTATATTGAAAAGACAAATTGTAAAATTAGAAATAAATGAAGCAGTTGTGCCTTTTTTTTTTTTGTCATTATTGGTCACAAAGTTTCAAAGTACTTCTCTTACAAGTTGAACTGCTAAAAATTTCACATTTATTTTTCTGTCAACGACTAAAGTAGAACCCCGCTGAAAATAAACCAATAAATTGCCACTTGTGTCAGTAGACTGTTCATGTGACACCACTGTAATACGATACTCCTGAAAGCAACAAAGCACGTGTGAAAAGATAGTCGACTCAACTCCTACTCTGAGAACAGGATGTCTAATGTATTGGATTATATATATATAAATATATATTTCTTGGAAATATCAGAGTAATCACACTGTACTTAGAATCAGTGGAAATGTTTATGCTGACAACAGAATGTGTAATTTATTGGCTTATGTATGTATCCTACAGTGTTCACAACAAGAATTTTTGAGAGTAACAACACTGCACATTGCACCTGTCAAAACATTTATTATGTGGTTTGGTGCCGATACAATAAAAATTGCAATTCTTTGAATATTGGTAATCCTTTTGGGGTATTTGGAAGATAGTGACATAGGTGTACAAAGATGTTATTTGAGCACATGCTTACAAAATCCTATTTCCTTTTTCAGCAATTATTTGTCAACTAATAAAAACTTTGGTTTCGGTACTACTTATCACTCATTTAGTTTTGCAAGTCTTATAAGTCTAGTCTTCTTTGGAAAACATTCTTACTTTTGCAGCTAAAGTGTATTTTAGAAGTCCTCTTGCAGTTGTGAAACACCTTGAGTTGTTGAGTCAAGGTACAGAATCAAATACAAAGTCCAATTCTAACTATATTACAGATATTTCGGCTACCATACATTACATATATACATATATATTTACTCATAAATGCTTAAATTTAGGCATTTTTCTTAAAACATGAACAATAAATGAAAATTACATAGAAAAAACAATGATTTCTAGTACTTACGAGAAATTACAGTGACAGAAAAATATTTTGCCCTCTTGTGCCTTTAGTGCTAAGCCTCGTTTATTTTTTTGAGGGGAGGGTGAAGAAATATAATTTTTGTAGGCTTCAAATATACAATTTAGAAAGAAAAAAATATATTACATTACTCTACTAGTATATCTAAACCATCTGTAACTTGCTTGGGTTTATAAATAAAGTATATATGTGTTAAAAAGTTTTTCTTATCTCCATTCAGAGCAACAACTTGGTCATCTCCATTCAACAATTGGCAAAATTATTTTTTTCTTATCCAAGCTCCTTACAAACAACTGTCAGAATCACGTAAAGCACAACTTGTCCTTTCTATTGGTTATAAACAGACCCTTAAGAAAAGTAGGTGGAACTAAACAAGAGGTTTGGAAAGAATGGAGTAGGAGGAGATACTGCTCCAGTTGATTTGTTAGATACATTGATTTCTCAGCAAATCAAAGTGGTGGGAGGTTCTAAATTTATATTCTAGCTTGCCAGTATCTAAAATTCATGTTTCTAATTTGTAACCACTTGTAAATATATATGGTAGGTGTAAAAAAATATAAACTGAACAACAAGACTTAAGGAGGTGCTATGTTACACACACAAATCAGTATTTAACTTTATTTGACTTATATTTTCTTTTGAATTAAGAAATTAAAACATACATAGTATTAAAATTTGAAATATAAGCAACGTTTGATGCCAATTTCATTGATATATAGTAATAATAAAGTTTTGAAAATAAATTGCTAAAGACAATGACACACTCATTGCAAAAGGGTTAAACAGGTTTTAGAATCTTGTTGTTTCATTTTATCACAGTTAAAACATTTGGCCAAAAGTTTCAAGCTCTTAATTGTAATAACACACATTTTCCTTAAAAAAATAATTGATATTCTAAACAAGGATTAAAGTCTTCACAGGTTTCTGCAATCTAAGTTTATTATGTCACACTTTCTCTGAAACAACTGACAGAACAAGTAGAGAAAATATATCTTTATTCTATTGCAAACTGTTAATGCCTTATAACATGAGCTAGAATTCTTGAGTCAGTTGAGGATATGAATATTTTTAATAGCTATCCAAAATGACTTAAAGCTCAAATGCATTTGGAAAGTGTTTTTTTTTCTTTTAAATCAGGAGTAACATATATATATATATATATTTATATATTATGTGAAGATCTATAACTTGTTGATGCATGCCAACTATTCTTTGTGTGATTGGTGTTGTGGAACTTTGGACTCAACACTTTTGATATTGTTTGTCTAGTACATAAGGGTATTAAATTAGTGTAATCAGTAGTCTTACATCTCATCTGTGTCTCCTTGTTTAGCAAAGATAAATATCTAACAATTTGTGATGGGTAGACGGATTGGATTACCTTACTAAATTTTAAGTGCGTAAAATATAACCTTCCATTTTTTTATACATTTGTTTTTGTATAAGTGTTGTATTATAATTTCTGGTTGATAAAACTTAACTTATTTTTCTTTTCATAAACAAGTTGTTTTATGCTGTGGAAACTCAACTTTTAATTTTTGTTATTCACAGTGAAGTACTATATGAAGATCAAAGTTTTGCCCAGAAACAATTGGCTGCGCTTGTTGCATCAAAGGTATGAATGTACAGAATCTATTGTGGTACATTTTTGTATACTTTACATTTCAGTGAAGTATTGTGTATGGAATTTTTTTTATTAATCTATGATTATAAATAATTAATTTTATTTAGAATTAGGCTGCACTTATTAATTTATTTTTGTTATGCAGGTTTACTACCATCTTGGCTCCTTTGAAGATTCTCTCACATATGCCTTGGGAGCTGGAGATCTATTTGATGTCAATGTTTCTTCAGAGTATGTTGAGACCATAATTTGTAAGTTTTTTTTCTTTTTAAAGTATTTAACTTGGTCTTTATATTGATATTATTGTGCTCAAAAATTCATGGTTTCCAGAATTAACTATTTTGCTTTAAGATTGTAACCTTGTGAATAGGTTATACGTAGCATGCATTTTTAGGTGAACAAAAAGGAAAATATTTGCACATTTCTTGTTTCCACACAGATGTTTTCTAGATTGAGACTTCCAATTTAGAGAGTCTTTATGATGAAGAACTTGTATATTGTACAGATTTATTAATTTTTTTTTGTCATGTACTATCCTGTTACAGCAAAATGCATTGATCATTACACAAAGCTGAGAATCTTCAACACTATTAGTAAACTTGAGGATCAAAAGCCAATTGACCCCAGATTGGAAGCCATTGTAAACCGAATGTTTCAGAGGTGCTTTGAAGATGGTCAGTATAGACAAGCTGTAGGAATTGCTTTAGAAACAAGGAGAATGGATATTTTTGAAAAAGCAATTCTAAGTTCAGTAAGTAAGCTTAGAATTAAGACTTGAATTGGTTTTTGATCAACATAGCATGTGTAGTTTTTAGATAGGCATTTAATGCTTTTGAGCTTATGCACTGCTTCTCCACAAACTATTCTTGTTGCAGTCTAGTATAGACACTTCAGTAAATGAGAGTATTATGTGCTTCACTCAGAAATATACTCAGCTGTCATTAATAAACCCAATGTAAAATAAAAAAATTGTACTTGGTAAACCTGTGTATCTGTTTGACATCAAAAGAAGCTTCACATTCTATTAACTCCTGGAGGAAACCTATATATTAAAACCTTTCATTCAGCTTGCATTAGGGGTAAAACAAAGCTGGATGAGTTAAATATTTTGTATATGTCAAAATGGAATTGTATTTACATTAAGATACTTATAACAAAACATGGAGCAATAATACAAAATTTAAATGGTATCTAGGCTGATAACTTCTAATCTCAATTTTACAACCTCAGACTTGAGCAATCTAAATTCGAACTCCATGAATAACTGAACAGTGAGATGCCTAGCTCTTTCAATTGATAAATTTTGATTTGTCAGTTTTATTTGTTAATTTACTGCTATTTTTATTTACTTGACTCTTCCAGCTATTATATTAAGTAAAAAAAAGAGAGACTATTGAGAATTTGGTATTTATATTTTTAAAAGTAAAAAGCAGTTTTACACTTTGGGTCAGATTGACTCAGTAAGATTAGTTCTCTACAACAAAGATGCAAGTACAAAGTAACTGCTGAGGTAAAAGGAATTTAGTTGATCTTAAATTAAAAGGATCATTTTCATAGAGTATTTATTATAGCTAATCACCTAAATCCTTCTGAGTAGTTCTATTTAAGCCAATTTTCAAGATTGATTTGTGACCTCAACTAATTGTAACAGTTTGTTCCCTGAACTTCATACTACATGGAAGATACTCATTCTTCACTATGTAGTAAACTTTGATAAATTTGATTTATTTTGCTGTACTAAAAGATTTGAGTGTTTTTTTGTTTCAGCTTTTAGTTGTAGTTTCTACAAGCACAGAATAAAAATTTTATGTTTTCTGTCTCTGTTAGATAAAGAAAATGATAAAAGTTTCACAAAATAATTGATTTTTTTTTTTCTTAACTTAATTCTCCTAATTTAATTTCCAAATTAGATTAAGCTTTTGAAGACCGAGATTTCACATTTCATTCAACTGATGAATTACAAATCTAAGACAAGTATTTAGAATTATTTGTGGCAATGTTAAGATTTCCTGGATAAATTTAATGACCAAGACAGGTGTAAGCATATTTATTCAGAAATGGGAAATTAATGCTGAAAAACATCAATAGTATTAAATATTTTTTTCTTAATACAATCTGTTCAACAATAACTTACATTATAGTACTTCATATTTATGAAGCCAAACCTTATTTATAACATTACAATTTTGTCATAATTCCTAACATTTGTTGTTTTTATGTGTCTTTAAGAAATAAAAACAATTCAGTGTTACTAGTAACTGAAATGTTTCATTGACCAAGGGCAAACACTACTGGGTATAACAGGAGTAGCTTTTAGTATTTCATTTTGTGACTATGTAGTGTTCAAGTTTATGTTCTATTTGATTAAAAATGGGTTGTTATAATGAATATAGTTTTTTAAAAATTTGTTTTGTAAAGGATTTTTTCATTACTATATTTTTATCAGGATAATGTGCAGGCAATGCTGTCATACAGTTTTAGAGTAACCATGTCACTGATCCAGAACCGGCACTTTAGAAATGAAGTTTTAAGAGTTCTAGTTCGTCTGTATAAAAATCTAGAAACTCCAGATTATGTCAACATGTGTCAGGTATTTCACTTATTTTTCACAGTCATGAATTGTTGGTTTTCTGCAATGATTACAACCATTGAAAATTTTAAGGGCATTACTATTGCTGTAATATTGTGCAATGATTTTTTTTTTTTACTATAACACAGAATGATGATTAATGTAACAGTCTGTATATTATTTAAAATTCCCTTGGGAAGGCACCACAGAATAAAGTAAAAGTTGCAATTTGAGGTTTGATAAATCTTTATTTACCAAATTTGGAAAATAAATAAAAATTAGTAAATAGTTGTGAAAAAAAAATCTGACTGACAGATAGATGGCACTGTAGGTAAGTGTTAAGTAGCTGACTTTGATCTAAAGGTTTATAATTTGGGATTTATTATGTACTGTGAAAAGATAACAAATCAAGATGGAAAAATCTGATTTTCAACTCAATGTATGATAGAAGATGGAAACAAAGAAAAGCCCTCTTCTATAAATGAATAAAACAGAGTTAATATATATCAAAATGTACTGTATTGTAATGGTCTAATTTTAGTTTGGTTTTCGTTACTGGGATATTTTTGTTATAAAAAGGTAATAAATTAAAGGTTGAATGTAACCACATGTGTTATTAAAAAAAAATATGTTGGTAGAAAACCGAAGGTGAATTAGAAAAATGTGGATAAAATGTTAGTCGTGTTTAATAATTTTCATTGGAATAGAGCAGATTATAAACTATTTACACCAATGTAAAGAAAGTGTTTTGTACAGTACCTTATGGTTTTTATGGGAAAGTGACTAGACAGAGTTTCTCAGAAAAGAACAAGTGAGTCTAATGGGAAGTTCAGAGGACTTGGAAACAAACTAAAAATCTGGGAATGTTTTTGTAATTTCTTGAAACATGCTTGTCATTGCTAAAAATATTTTTTATTAGATTATATTTGTTTTTCAAATACATCAAGCTAACTTAATTAGGTTCAACAAATACAGTACACAATGTTTCAGTGATTCAAACCTGTATTTATTGCATATTATTGCTAAGTTTATCATATTTAAAGAATGTGAATAAGTGAAAAGTTATTATTTATGGAAAATATTATATATCGTTGACCAAAATATTGTTACCTTGCTTGACAAAGGTAATGGTTATGCTATTGTAAAAGGTCGGGTTATAGGTCACCAATAAACATTTGTCAGTTTTTGCTGTGTTTTTTTATGACTTATAGCTGGAAGTGACTACTTCAGTTGGCAAAATATATTAAAGAATATATGTTAATGAAAATCAATCAAGTTGGAAATGACTGGACATATAAAATGGAACTTACTGATTAACAATAAAACAACTGAAATTCTAAGTTGAAATGAATTGTTTATCCAAAAGAGTGTCTCACAACAAAACTTTGAAAATTTCACAATAGAAAACGTAAATCAAGTTATATGATTTTCTTTTAGGCCAAGGTATATACTATATTTTAAGCTTGTATTAAGTGTTGTGCAATTTGGTTAAGTATTTCCACTGTAAGAAGGAAGGAACATTATGGGATATCAATGACACACTGTAAGTCCTGAAATGGATAAAAGCTATCAAATAACACTAAATTTGAACCATCAAGACAACTAATTATATAAATACTAGCCCCCCAGTGGCACAGCGGTATGTCTGCGGACTTACAATGCTAGAAACCGGGTTTCGAT